AGCCAGATAGGTCACCACTGAAGTACGCAAACACTCAGTGTATCCACACCCCGCTCTGTCTGGTCGAAGCTTAACACTTGAACAACCCAACTCCGAATGCCGTCAATATCCCAATTTCCCATCCGACAACAGGCAGCACGGATCCAAACAAGCGGTCACCCTACACTGATCATGCAAGCGTGTACATTCCAGCACCTGTGCATTCCTAGCCTCCCAGCATCCATTGCTCCACTGGCCAACACCTGTGACACTGATGCGCAGACACCCAGGCAATCCAATAAACAGACACCCCTCTTTATGATAAAAATAGCAAATGGTCAGCCTTCCCGTCAAACAGGTTAACCCGCCTCCACAGGAAACACCGAGACACCAACACCCAACACAGAGCCTGGACACTCCACACAGCACCATTAGTGCCCAGCACTCACCAGCCAACCCCCTCAGTACCCCGGCCTTCTGTTCCATCATGGGCAGCATACTTGCACCCATATAAGTTCACCCTAGCCCCAGATGCCCCGACCCCGGGCACGTCACATGCTCAGTACACCAGCATTCAATAGCCCAGCTCCCTACGGTCAATAGTTGTCTGCCGAACACTCAGTGGATTCAATTAATAAGTCTTTACTAGTTAACACCCAACATCCTGTGTGTCTGCAGCCCTTCTATCAGGCAACCCCAAATTCCTGGTCTCACACCTTTAAGACCCCTTCATTACCCAGTACTTCACCACCTCGGATTTTCTGAGCCCCTTGAATGCCCACCTCCAGCTGGACTTGGGTTTGGGCTGGTGGTCAGTGGCCTGGATCTGCCCCACCCCCACAGGTGGGAGGACCGTCCGGACTTCCTGACTGTGGAGCAGCGCATGCGGACCTACTACTACAGCTTGGCGAGCAAGGCTGAGGGCCCCCCGGAGAGTGAGAAGGGGGCCAAAGCTGCCAGTGCCTGAGCACCCCCTGCCCAGGGCCTGCGGGCCCCTAGGCCCAGCCTTTCCTCTGTGCCTTCAGCCCCATCCCAGGATCCAGTGTGGCCGGGCCAGGCCAGTTCCTCCCCGCAGCTGGGCTGTGAGTGGGAAGCTGAGGCCGAGGCCCACACTGGTTAGGCATGTCCTACCTGGTCACCCATCCTTTCTGGCTGCGGGAGGAGGGATGCCCTGAGATGGGGGTGGGGTTGTGTAGCCTGGCCCTGGGCGGGTATGTACTGGGGGGCCCTGAGCCGAGGGGTGCTTACAACAAGGATCCTCCTTCCTCACCCTGAAGGGGAGGACTCTGGGAGTCTTCAGGTGGCAAGACCTTAACCACGGAATAAATCAGCTTCTCTCTTGTCTGAGATTCCTCATCTTTCTTGGGTGAGGGTGGGACAGGAAAGGGGGTGCTAGGGCGTGCTTGAGAACAACTTTCCTTGTGTGAGACTGGCTTTCCCACTCCTGTGCCCTGGGAAGTCTTCATTCAAGTGAGAGGCTATTGGGGAAACCAAGGCAGGTAAGTGTGGGGCTGTGTGCACGCGGGGCCTCAGCGTCCCTACCTCCGTGACTGCATGATAGCGTCACCTGGAGAGACTTGACCAGCTGCTGACCCTCCCCCTCCCCCACGCCCCGGCATCGGCATCGGTGCATTTTAAAGTGTCTTCAGGTGATTCTACCACCCAGCATCCTGCTCAGCTGTCCAGCCTTTCTTCCTGGGCCGGTCATCGCTGGAGTTTCCATCACTGGGTGCCCCAAGTGCCAGCTCAGTCCCGCTCAGAAGACCTGTCCCTAAGCTCTTGTGGCCTCAGTTTCCCCACATGGAAAGTTGGGATGTTGGATCGCAGAACCCAGCAGGTGGGGTGAAATGAAGCCAGGTGCCTGCATTTCTTTCCCGAACCAGCTCCCCCCCCTCCCCCCGGGGTGTGATGGGCCCGTCCCAGTCCCCAGTCAATGCCTGGTTCTCTTGGCTCCGCCTCCAGAGTGATTGGCTCAAGGGCAGCACAGGACCCGCTCAGAGCCCAGGAAAGGCCAGGAAATGCTCCATGGCTTCTGGGAAGGCGGCGTTTCCTCTCACCTGTGGAGGCCGGGCTGCCTGTGGCTGTTCGTGCGGTTATGGGGAGGGCTGGGGGCTCCAGCCGCTGTGCAGAGGGAGCGTGAGGCCCGATGGGTGACCCTGAGAGCAGACCCCGAGCCTTCGTGACCCGTGAGTACATGATCGAGACCAGGAAATGGATGAACAGGTTCAGACCTTGCTGTGATGTCACCATTTACGGTTGAGGTTTTCATACTTGATACCTAAGCTTCATATGAGCATATTTAATGAACTTTGTAGTCTACATGGAGGTGAATTCGGAGGCCCCTCAGCTAGACCGCCAGCTGACACACGGAGGCCCAGCTGTGCGTGTGTTTGGAGAGTGTTTGTAAAGGTGTGGAATTTTCTGAGGGTCTCCGAGCCCTGCATTTAGAGTGACAACAGACCAGGAGAGTGCAGAGACCCTAAAGTTAAAGACACAAACTCGAATTACTCCCATTTTTGTCATTCTCTGTGACCACTTGGAGATTTTTGTGTTTAAAATGTAAACCAGTGAGGCCTTGCAAACTGTGAGATACAATAGCTTTAGTTGGAAAATGTATATCAGTTCATACATGAACCATATTACTGAATTTGAATAACACCATTAAAATGCAAACGTTGTTTTTAAACTAATGAGCAAATCAAGAAAACAGTCACATCAATGGTACAATTTCGTGTCTTCCCAAATTCTGTTCACAGATATTTCAGTTTTATTAAATTCACTTGTTAGTTATGGGATAATTCACATTATTAGATGAAGTATATCATAAAGGAAATAAATTCTCACTGTCTGCATTTCTTTTAGTCATTAATTTTTATTTTATTATTGCTGAAAATCATTTTATAGGAAGGAGGTGTTAACAGTGACCCACTCTGAGTGTCCAATACAAGGAATGCTGTGTGCGCTTCCAATAAATCAGCGGTTCTCAACCTGTGGGTCGCGACCCTTTGGGGGTTGAACGACCCTTTCACAGGGGTCGCCTAAGACCATCGGAAAACACATATATAATTACATATTATTTTTGTGATTAATCACTATGCTTTAATTATGTTCAATTTGTAACAATGAAAATACATCCTGCATATCAGATATTTACATTACAATTCATAACAGTAGCAAAACTACAGTTATGAAGTAGCAACGAAAATAATTTTATGGTTGGGGGTCACCACAACATGAGGAACTGTATTAAAGGGTCGCAGCATTAGGAAGGTTGAGAACCACTGCAATAAATGCTTGTTGAACCAATGAGAGGGTGCGGTTCCACACATTCACCACCAGGGGCCGCTGTTCCTGAAGCCAAGGCCGCTCAGTTTCTCCATTCGAGCCTTGCCGCCAGCCCTGCTTCTGGGTGTCTCTTCTGCTTGGGGCGCGACCCCAGGCTCCTCCCTGGTCTCCAGGTGCCCCCACCCCGCGCCGTCCTGTCCCTTGCAGTCCATTCACCCCAAAACCACCTTTCTTCCAGGGTTCCCCAATCATATCACCCCTGCCCCTGGCTGAAGCTGCTTTCACCAGAGGGTCTTAACATGAATTGAATGACAGTCCTAGGTTACAGGCACCTCTGAAAAGGCCCTGTTATCTTCAGGCCTTGCACAGCCATTAGCCAGGGTGGGGGTGCGGTGTGGTGGGCCTGGGAGAGAGAGGGGTCGGCTGTTGCGGGACTCCGGGGCACTGTTTCTGGCTCTGGCTGCGGGGGTCTGACTGTGTGAGAAGCAGTTGTACAGATCCAGGGGACTGTGTTGTGGCAGAGCCTGTGGGGGCTCCTTCAAGGGCTGGGGTGCGAGCTGTTGGCAGGCTGGGCTATTGAGGTCCGTGGTTGGCTGTGGGGGCCTGGCTGCGCAGGGCCCTGCTGCTCCAAGGTTGGTGTGGGTCTGGGGTGGCTCCCGGGGAGTCCAGCTGCTGAGGGCGATGCAGTGTCTGCTGCAGGCGGTGAGCTCACACAGGCCTTGGGCTGTTGTCTGCTGGACCCTGGGCGCCGTGTGGCGTGTCTTGGGGTTCAGTAGTGAAGATCAGCTTTGCTCATCTTTCCTTCTTTCTGTGTTTCTTGTCCTCTGTGTTTTTCAATCTGTCTCTTTCTCTGTTTCCACCTGGCTCTCTCGCTGGGTGGGCCAGCACCCAGGCGGGTCTGTCCCTGCACGGTCTCGGATGTGCGGACTGGACTGTGCAGGGAAGAATTCAGACACGAGTCCGGGTCGTTCTGAGAGAACGTTCATTAAAGCTGGGGACGTGCATCAGAGGAAGGGCTTAGGGCAGAAGCAGCAAGATTAAGAGGCCAGTGACAGGACACGTGGAATAAGGACACTGACAGCTGAACAAACTGGCCGAGCAGTTTGCAGCAGATACAGGTCACCTTCCTGGAGAGAACGTCTAGGCCTCAGCTGTATTCCAGCTCCAGGCCCAGAGAGGCAGCACAACCAGGTGGGCGACACCAGGACCAGCTGAGATGACTACTGACTAATGATGCCCCCTGCCCTGGCGCTGACCAATCAGCAGAGACGTCATCCCTCCCCCTTCCCTTTCTTCCCCATAGGCTTGCATCTCCTAAACTCTAAGGCAGTGGTTCTCAACCTTGGCTGCACATGAGAATCACCTGGGAATCTTTTTAAAAATCCTGATTTCTCTAGGCCCCATCTGATGGGATGGGGAAAGCTCCCGTCCTTTTGGTTGGAGTAGGTTCCAGGAGCCTTTTATAAGGGCTGGCTCGGGTGGCAGCAGCCCTGCAGGGGGGCGGGTCGGTGCAGGCCTCCCCTGAAGGCCAGTCTGTGTGAGAGGCCCCTGACTGGTGAGCCCAGTCAGCCTCCAGGAGCCCTTCTCACTGACAGGCAGCCGGGCTAGAACTAAGGAAACATGATTGTGGCCATGAAAAGTCAGTGGTGGGCTGGCCTAGTGAATGCTGGGTAGTGTCTAGGAAGCACAGTTTGTTTTTTTGTTTTTTTCCTCATTGATGATTGTACTAGACTGACCCCTGGTGGCCACTCTGCTGTGTCTGACACAGACACACAGTGCGTTCCTAGGGCCATTTTTACCCCTGCCCTGTCCATTGTTATAAATGAGTTCATGCCTCTTCTCAAATACAATTTTCATTCTATAAAATGTACAGTTTCATAGCACTGTAAAGTCCAATTTTATTTTCTATGAACAGCTTTATATAAAATTTCTCATAGATTCCTGCTGCCTCCTCCCCAGGAGCCCACGAGAACGCGCTGATCCTTGTTAGGTTTGACGGATGCGTCTCTGACAGATGTGATTGGGAATGCATTTTGAAAGGAAGTATTACTCACAGTGACTCCACATTTCCTATTTAGCCTCTTCCTTCCTCTCTTTCTAAAAAATCAATAAAAACATTTTAAAAAGTGGGGGGCTAGAAGGGCATGTGCCCTAGCCTGCCTTTGGGGAGAAGGGAGAGGGAAATGGGGGCAGGGCGGAGGTGGGAGGCACTGTTCCCCAGGGGACACTTATGGGGCAGGCTCCAGGGGATCCTAGCGGTGGGACTTTCTTCCAGCCACGGCTGCCCGGGGTGTGGGGTGGATGTCAAGGGCTCAGGCTGCAGAAGTCTTCAGTGGTGGCAGCAAAGGCGTGCCTGTGAGCACACATTCAGAAGTGGGAAGGTGGCTTAGGGCAAAAGACTTGTTTCAGAAGGATGCCGAGGGCAGGAGAGCTTGCAGCCCCACCTGACTAACTGGAGAAGGGGAGGGTTTGTGGGCACAGAGATCCGATGCAGCCTCCTCTCTCCTGAGAAAAGGGGGTCTGGCCAGGAGGGAGAGGCCACAGCAGAGACTTTACCCGAGCGCAGTCCCTCAGGAACGTCCCCCTGGGCGTGCTCCGCAGGGTGCGCCCTCACGCGGCTGCAGCAAAGGGCACACCCCCTGGTGTGGTTCGGGGTGGGCTAGTGGAGGGGTCAGGGGCCAAGCCAGGTGGCAAGGAGCTCAGGGTGCCCCAGTCGGTGGCCGCATCCCTTCGGCCAGTATTGGTTTGATTCCCTGGGGAGTTTGCATTTTCAAAAGCTTAACATTTGAAATGCCCTTGGAATCACCACAGTGACCAATACGAATAAGAAGTGTTGCCATTTATTTTTAAAAATTTCTTTATTGAGATATAACTGGTATATAACATTCTGTTAATTTCAGGTGCACAACAGAAAGGATTGGTATTTGTATATGAGAAGTGACCACCACAGTGAGTCTAGTTAACATTCAGCGCTGCACATACTTACAAAATTTTTCCCCTTATGATGAGAAATTAAAAAAAATCTATACCCAAGGATGTTTTTATTGATATTTTTAG